TGGCATCGGGACCTGGGCGCCCGGGATTTCGCCCTAGCTTTTGTCCATATTTTTCAGAAAATAAAAAGGAGAAAATGAATTTCCTAGAGTGAAACTCAACTCTCCTAAATATACTCTCCCTGCACTGCGTGAAGTAGGAGACAAGACCTCAATACAGCGTGGAACGAACTTGGACGGTCTTCCTGGCTATGCGCATTGACCACCCAAATAAAAGAAAAGAGCGGATAGGACCTCAATACAGCGTGGAACGAACTTGGACGGTCCTCCTGGCTATGTGCATTGACCACCCAAATAAAAGAAACGAGCGTCTCCGAAGTGTATCCAATTGTCCTCCCACCTCTGTGAGATTGTCCTCCCACGTCTCTCAGAGTGCACCTCCTTGTCTGCCAAAGTGTCCTCCCACGAAAAGGTAATGATGGTGATGGCTATCTTAGTACCGACCTGTGGGAATATTACCAAATGGTATGGGAGGCCGGGGAAATGGGGGATACAGTAGGGAAAGGAGTGTTATCCCTCATATACAAAAAAGGCGACAAAATGAACATTAGGAACTACAGACCTATCACATTGCTCACCGTGGTATATAAAATGTTTTCCAAAGCATTGGCCAACCGTATGGCGACAGTATTGGAGGAGGTCATTCACCCAGCCCAAACAGGGTTCATGTCTGACAGGAATATTCAAGAAAACATCCTACTGGTTAACGATGTGATCCAACTGGCGCGCTGATAACAGGCAAACGCGGCCATTATCTTTATATATTTCGAAAAAGCCTACAACCACGTGGACTGGGAATTTCTAGACATGTGTTTGGAACGAATGAACTTCGGGCCGCCTTCCGGTGCTGGGTCAAAATCCTCCATAAAAATGTCACAACCTGTGTTCAGGTCAATGGGTCAATAGCGCCTCCTTTTGAACTCCAACGGTCGGTGAGACAAGGGGACCCTATTGCCCCCTATCTCTTCTTGGTAATTATGGAAGCGCTGTCAGCCAATTTGCGGAAGAACAAAGACCTCACCCGTATTAGGATATCGAATATCCCGGAAGAGGCAATACCCATCTCCCTGTTTGCTGACGACGTTACCATCATGGTAGAGGCAACTACGGGCAACATAGAAGAAATTCAGCACCTCATGAACAAATTCTGCCGCCTGTCAGATATGACGGTAAATTGGGGACAAAAGACTACAGGATGGTGGATGCATCACCAAGGGGGAAGACCTCCAGAGAACCCGAGAATTACTTGGCTCCCCCCTGACGATCCCCTACGAATTCTAGGGGCACTGATCACTGCTAAAGGAAGGTCAGCATCGAATGACGAGTGGCTGACCGGACCAGCACAGATCAAATTGGAAAAATGAAATAATAAACGCACATCCATCTTTGGGCGAGCACTTGTCATTAACAATGTAATCCTGGCCACACTCTGGTATAAGGCCATCCTATGGCCTATGAGTAACGGGGGGCTCAAAGCATTGAAGCAACAACTGGCGGCATTCCTGTGGAGAGACGATAGTAACATCTCCCACGCCATAAGTCGCGTGGCGTGGGATTCGGTGATCCAGCCCAAGAATAAAGGAGGCCTGGGAATCGTGGACCCTGCCACACAATTCCAGGWCCTCTCGATCCGCTGRCTCCAGCTTATCATCTTTTCACCGTCCTCCCCATGGGTCCCCCTTGCCCTGTTACAAATCGTTGACCTCGCCCCAGAATCCCCACCTGAGATTGACCCCCGAGTATGGTTGGAGGACAGATATTGGAGGCTACCTAGGAGGTACAGAAATGGGGATCCGACCGACAAATACTGGGTGCGTCTCCTACGTACATGGAGGAGGCTCCCCCCCCCCAACCGACCGGTCCCAGCGAGGTGGGAAGAAATATTCAGGCAGCCCCTATTCGGCAACCGCCTAATAACGGACTCCGAAGGGCGTGTGCGGTGCGCATCGGACTCACCGTGGAAGGGCTGGGTAAAGCACGGTGTACGAAGAGTCGGGGACCTTAGGGACGCAAAGGCAAGGAGCTGGAAGAGCACTGAGAGGCTACGAACAACACTACGGTATTGTCACCTCACCGAAAGAGCACTCGCTGAGTTGATTGACAACTTCCCCCTCCACTGGTGCGTCACTCTTAGAAAAGGCCCCTGCATTAGGGAAGATGACTGGGTAGGGCTGCCCGACCACGAGCGGGAAGTGGGGTACGTGCACCTTGTAGACCAGACACCCGTGCTAGTTGAGGTCTTCGCCATTTTAAAAGACGATAAACTGCAGCATAACCAGCAACCTTTCATATGGAAGGAGCAAAGGGTTGTCTATCGCATCAGGGTCATTGACGAGGGAGGCCATCAGCGGGCATATAGCCCAATGACTCCAATCGAGGACCTCCCCCTGGACCCTGACGAATGGCAATGGRCCCTGAGCGTCCMAACTAAGAAAGGAGAGGCAAAAACACTGACACTATGCAACCTAAAGTCTAAATCTGCCTATCGAATGCTCAGGCCCAAATGCACATTACGAGACCGTGTAGAAGAYAGATGGTATCGCCACCTCAATGTGGACCGTARACTACTGAAACCCATCCGGTGGTTTGCCCACTACGGTAAAAGACCAGCAAAAATCTCCGCACTCCAGTGGCAAATAGAACACAGGTGCCTACCCACCAACGACTGGCTKATTGACCATACCCACCTGGAACAACAAGGGAAGGCACTACCGTGGTGCCACAAATGTCTTCTGASTTACCCCGGGAGGAAGAGGGCTGAGACCATCGAACATATATTCCTCCAATGTCCTGCATCAGTGCKAYTATGGAGAAGTTGGGACAGGATCTGRCGGCACATAGTCCCCGGGGCGGTCTGGCCATGGGACTGGAGGGCCCTCCTCTTGGGGTATTACCCTCCGATCCAGGGAAAGGCATTTGAAGAAAATATGTTTAGCCTAGGCAGGCGAAGTGTCCTATGGACTATATGGTGGATAAGGTGCTGTCGAGAGATAGAGGGGGCGCAGGTGGAAGACGGCGAGGCTATGGAGCAAATTCGAACACTAGTCCAGCACGAGATAGCGGCCCAATKGAAGACAGCCAAAGACAAACTCGACCTGATGTGCTCCTGGGGGGACATGAACAGGATCATCTCTACGTTTTGCAAGAACTGGYTGGGGGGCGAGAGGGAGGGATGGGTGGCCGAGGTGAAGTGGACTGGCCGCCAACCTGAGAGGGAATCGCAGGGGGAGACCCGAACAGAGGTAGTGAGAGACTACCAGCTGACTTTTCACGATTGGACCACGATTGACCCTGGCACCCCGCTACGACCTGCCCAGGACTTTGCAGACCCTTTCCCACCCCACCCCCTATCCCTAGCAGAGACTCTGCCAGCTACATGAGACCCGTTAACCCGGGTACTAATCCACAGAATGGCTGCTTAAAAGAAGAATTTATGGGACGCTGGACCCGGTTTCCAGCAGGTTCGTATACTGAGGATGATTGCAGGATAGGCAAGGTAGTGATGGTTATTGATATGGGACGCTGGACCCGGTTTCCAGCACAAGGGCGGCACCTTCCATCGAGCCAAAAAGACAGGATCAGCAGATGGGCGTCTCCCTGTGATGTGAGGAAGACGTTTGCTGTAGCCAGAACGGCTGTTTAGCTAAACTGAGAGAAAATGCTGGGAGAACTCTGTTAATCCTGTTTAATGCAAATTGCTTC